TCCTGCGCTGTGACGCGGCCACCAAGCAGAAGAGCAGGAGGTGCTCAGTGACACCATGCAGACAGACACGTGGGGCCCTGAGTGGAAGGATGTGGAACCACGCGGTGTGTGCTGGGGACACAGGCAGACCTCACTGCTAATTAAAAAAATCGACAGGTGTGAACTTACTGTAAGGTTTCACCACAGTGGCTCACTTTCCAAAACAATCGAAATCTCTCCATTTTCAACTTTAATTACATTTTCAGAATAGGTGATTTCTCAACTGGAGTCTCAACCATCGATTTCCATGGGCAACAAATGATAGAAACAGTAAATTGTACTACAAAATTAGTTATTGAACTCTGTGGATTGAGTTGAGCTAATTACATAGACAACTGGGAGATTTGAGAAACACAGGTGATGTCCTGCTCGGTACGTCCATACGCAAAGAAGAAGACAAGAGCGGATCACGCACAGACAGCAAAGCCAGGAACCTGGACAATGGTAACTCCTCATTCTGCCACCTCCCATCACTTGTCCTTGGGACATCACTTATCCTGACTGGGGCTCAGTTACCTCTTACCTACCACTGGGCAGTCACTCATACTGGGTGTTTGTAAAGGTGGGATGGGACGATGCTTGCAGGGTGTTCTTCATACAAATGGAACGCATCACTGCTTTTATTAATGGGGGAACCAAATCCTTCCTCCCAGAAGCCAGCAATAAAGATAGGGCATGAACTTAAGGATAGCTACATGACAGAGAAGAGGAAACAAAGATTGGTTTGGTTTCACGTTAGTTTCAAATCGTCCTCCACTTGTAATCATTGTTATTCTTGACACCACCTTTGTCCCACGGGACTCAGAATCACAAATGAGATTGGTGAGGAACCTGATGTGCAGGTGGGTCGAGAGGATTAGCAAATGTCAAACAACAAAAAGAAAAAGAAGAGGAGGAGGGGAGGAATGAAATTCGATCCTAGCGCATTCTTTAGCCAGCTGTGTTCCATCTTTCTCTGCCATTGTCTGGATTTATAGGTGCATAAATGTACCCTCTATTCTCCAGCATGGATTTAATTATCGTCAAGAAGTACTTTTCAAATAAACACTTCAGTTTCTGTGTCGGTCTCTGACTCATCGCAGCTGAAAACAAATTAGGGGTTGCAAAGGTCCACATCTTGTATGGAACAACTGTGATTTTCTAAATGGAAGGACATCTTTAAACAGCTGAGAGAGCTTCAATTTTCATAAGCGCCATATTCCATATTTAACCAGATTCTGCCATAGAAAGTCATGTGCAACATCCCGAGGGAATACTAATCAAACCAGTGCAGCTTGAGTTTAATCAGAACTCATGTCTTGAGTCATCCATGTCTTCTTCTCCCGGTTTACTGCTGTTAAAGACACTCTTCTGATGCCATCTTGGGCATGTCAGCTGAAGAACGTATAGCACGAACCTCTGAACATCTGAAAGATTCGGTTCGATTTTGCTTTCTATGTTATGCCTCATTTTGAATCCAAACTACTAAAGGTAAAACTCTAGCCGTGACCCCTGCAGATGCTGGGGCTTGAAATCAGTAATATCTGATTTAGATGGATACGCAAATGTTGCTCCCAGCACTGACTGGTTCCCAGCAAGAGGTGCTTTGTGCCACACTCCTCAGTCCACTTCCTTATGCAATACTATGTATGTGCACGCCCCTCGTGAGGGGGGGTGTGCTGTCTCTATTACATCCTGGAAGCACATATATTACACATGCCGAAGATGGGACATGTGCTCTTTTCCCCATTCCTCTCCTTAAGAACAAGCAAACACTCTGGACATCTCATAGAAAACAAACAAAAGACTCTAAAACGTGGAGAAAAGAAGGCAGGTGAGCTCTGGACTTCAGGACATGGTGGTGGTCAGTCCCCTGGATTTTCTTTTTGCCTCGTGTATCCCACACCTGGAGCTGAAGAAACCAGCAGCCCTAAACACCAAGGGGCACAGAGGAATAAAAGAAGGAGAAGCCCCAAGGAAGGCCTGTCCTCTCGTGTGGGGGAGCCTAGAGTCCTTCCTCACTAGGCTGTAATGAGGGGCCCACCAACCCCACAGGGGTGGCGTCCACCACTCAGTGGACATCAGGGCTTCAACCACTGCTCGGTGGTAATGAGACCACACCTTCCTTTGGTGGCAGTGGAGGCTGTTTGGGAGCCAGAACACCCCCTTCTGTTCAGCAGCAACAGACCCCCACTCAAGAGTCAATTGGAAAGGGGTGGTCTTCCACCCCTCTCTGTAGTAATGAGGTGGCACCCCCACTTCCTCTGCGGGGGTGGTATCTGAGCACACCTGTTAAACCCAAGCCTTAGAAAGGATCTGGGGTCTCACAGCATAATAACTAAAAATGCAGATATCAACAACAACAAAAAAATCACTCATCACACCAAGAACCAGGAACATTTCAATCCAAGTGAAAAAAGGCAACCAATAGACGACAAAACAGGCTGACAGAGATGTTAGAATTATCTGACAAATATTTCAAAGCAGCCATGAAACAATGCTTCAAAAAGAGGTTGAAAACAGGTTGAAACAAATAAAAATAAATAGATAAAACCCTCAACTAACAAACAGGAAATGTGTGGAGGAACTAAGTGGAAAATCGGAATCTGAAAAATACAACAATCAAAATTAAAAGTTTGCAGTTTGGGCCCAATAGCTGAATGAAGGGAACAGAAGAAGGTATTAGCAAAATGGAGGATAAAACAATAGAAAACTCTCCCCTCCGAATCTAGAGAAAGAGCAACATCAACCCAAAGCGAGCACAAAGAAGGACATAAATACAAATCAGTGTGAGGAAATGAATGAATGAATAAATATAAACCAAAAGCAGTAATCAATGAAATTAAAAACAAAAACAATAGAGAAAATCAATGAAACAAAGAGCTGGTTTTTTTTTTTTTTAATCAATAAAACTGACAAACCTCTAACAAGACTGACAAAGGAGAGAAAGAGAGCACGCACAAATTAGCAGTATCAGGAATAGAACAGGGGGCATCACTACAGATCCTTCAGACATTAAAGGTTAATACGGGATCCAGCTCAGCACACAGATTTGCCAAGGCACATGAGATGCACCTGGGGATGGACACACTGCTGGCATGGCCCACCCACAGGGGGATGGACCTTTGTAAGAGGCCCGCACAGGCTGGAGAGGGAAGTTCAGTGTCATCCAGGCAAGAAAGTCTGGATCTCAGGCCCTTGGAGCATGGTGAGAAGGGAGAGGTGCAGAATCTGGAGGAGTGCATCCTCTGGTGAGGGCCAAGGCCAGACGCAGGCCAGACAGGGCTCCTGATGCTCAGGTCCTGGGACAGGGGCTCCTCTTGTCCAAATCTAAATACATACTGATAATTTTTTTTTTTTTTTGCTACTGATAAGGGGACGACACCCATAGACAGATACAGAGGACTGCTTGGTACTTGGGGCCAAATTGACACCCATCGTGTAGGTTTATACGAGGCTCTGCCGCTGCACCACTCACTATTTGACAAGTACTTACAGGGTGTCTGTGCTGAGCCAGGAGCTGGGCTAAGCTTACAGGCTGGAGGCAGAAGACATAAGAGGGGCTGTAGCAGCCTAGGGAGAGAGGTACCGATGCCTGTTATGGAGCAGCTCCACACACTGTGGTGGTCACCGCTCTCCCCACATGGTCTCAATGCAGCCCCACGAGGGCCACAGATTTGCTGTGTCCTTACATGTCCGGAAAATGTATTGAGACCAGAGGGCTCTGCCTCCTCAATTCCTCCTCACGTATGCTTCCGTGTGTTCTAGGGACAAAGATTACCTGAACAGCTACTACACCACAAAGTGTATCCTGAGTTTTCTGTTTTATTGGCAGGGAAATAAGCCCTGCAGTGCGTCAGTGAGGTGCATTAATTAGAACATACTAGTACACATTCGGGGGCTGACCATCTGAGATTCTCCACCTGAGATTCTCAAGGAGATGCTCCACTTTGACAGGTGTGTTGAATGACTTGCTCGTCCACCCTCAGGTGGGAGGCAAGGTTCCGCTGTGAACAGGGGGAGAGTGCCTGATGAAGGAGTTCTGCATTCCTGACAGCTCATTTGGAAATTAAGCTGAAAAACACAGGCACACGATCACGAGAGAGGATGCATCGCCCACAGAAGCTGCCTCATTGGCTTGCAATCGGCGGTCTGGTGCTTCTCCCTGGCACTGACGCTTCCGCTTCGGCACTGACACCCTGAGTCCAGCTCGCCGCACTAGTCCAAACCGCTCACATCTGGTTTCTGTTCAGACTGTAGGAACTGGAGCTACACAGCCCAGCTTTGTGGCCACTGGGTTCCTAGAGATCAGAACGCACTAATCCGTGGCTGGATTTCACGTGGAGAAAGTGTGAAGGTTTTTTGTTTTTGTTTTTTAATCATAGTTGATTAATAAAATGAGGAGAAAAATAAACCCAAGGGAAGCTGAGGGGGATGAGAGAGCAGATTTTCATCTGTGCACGTGGACCATTCAGCAAACAAGCAGTAGCCCTTGCTTTGTGCTCTGTTCTATTAAGTGAAATCTGGGTCACAGCCCTGGGCAGAAATGCAAAAACATTCGCACATGATATGGAGGGAAGACTAATAATAGGAATATCGAGGAGTGGCTGAAAACATGAAAAGAACAAACGAGTGAATTACAGGTCCTGGAAGTGAACCCTTTCCCAGCCCGATGCAGTCATTTGCTCAGACTCACTCTCCTAGCAAGAAAAACCCCACAAAACCGAGTTTGTGAAATACCCAGTGTGAAACCAGAGGCAAAACCAAACGCATCTCGCCTGTGATATCCTGGAGGTCAATTTGGGCCACGCCCTTTGTGAGGTGGTGATGGTGCGGTGTGATGTTCTAAAACTAGAGGAAGTTGGCCAATGGACTAGGGCACCCACCAGCAGCCCATTGCTGCTTTCTACACAGTCAGTCTGGTGTCGCCTGCATTAACCCCATCGCTGCCCCCGACACCTGGCCCCAAACCCCACTGCTTCATGCCTCAGCCCCCGATGTGGCCTCCTGGTCCCAAGATCTCTGCCAGGCTCGCCTCTGACACCCTGTGCCAACCGCGTCAGTTCCCTGGTCGGTCGTCTGAGGTGGACCCTTCCTGCTGGTCACCCAGTCTGACCCCAGCCCCCAGAATACCATACGGGTCACCCCAACATCCTGCAGCGGGCAGGCTGGGGAGGGCTCGTTCTCCAGCTTGGTCTACACGCTACCACCTTGAGATTTGGAACACATTCTCACACTGAAGCGACACGTTGGGTCGTGTTTGGGTTTTCGTGATAAACCACAGAAAAGCCATCTGGCTCCGAGCGGGGGCCTGGCCCTTCAGGTTTCAGTCCTGAGAAGACACATCCACAAGACAGAAGATGGAGGGGAGAAAGAAGCTAGCTTATTTACTGGTCTGTTATGGGTTGAACTGTGTCCCCCAAAAGATCGGTTGAAGTCCTACTTCCAGAACTGCGAACGTGACCTTATCTGGAAATAAGGTCTTGGCAGGTGTCACTGAGTTAAGACGGGTCATCCGGGTGGGCCCTGGTCCAAACTGCCTGGGTGCTTACAAGACGAGAAGTCAGGGATGCAGAGAAAGGCGGCCATGGGAGGAGGCAGGAGGAGTGCTGGTGCGTCTACACTTGAGGAGCGCCACGCACGGCCCACAGCCCGGCACAGGGGGCGGGTTCTTCTGCGGAGTTTGTGGAAGAAAGCAGCCCCACCGACGCCTTGGCTTCAGGCTTCTGGCCTCCAGACCACGAGAGAATTCATTTCTAAGCTGCCTCGTTTGTGGTACTTCCTTACAAGCAGCCACAGGAAACCAATACCTGGCCCGGGCGAGTTTTTGTCAAAAGGCACAAGTTGGCTTCAGCACCCTGTGTTCTAGATTGTTCTCTTCAGCCCAGGGGCCCAGGCCTCACTGCCCTTAGCACTTGTGCAGGGGCCATGCCATGCGCATCTCGCCCGGAGGCAGCCGAGGGGTTTATGGCACACGCGGCAGGTGACACTGACACAACAGCACGTCCGCGGCGCGACAGTGGACAGAACAAGGACCTGGGCAGGAGGGAGCCTCGGTGGGGAAGCATGCAGGAGGGCAGGGCACCTGCTCCTGGCCCCTCGGTCAGGCCTGGAGCCAGAAGTGGGCGTCCGGCGCAACCCCACCCCATCGCCCTACTCTGCACCTTGGCTCCGGGAGGCGAGGTCAGCTCTGCTCCGGGAGGAGGCGGTTGGCAGGTGCAGCCCCGTTCCTGAGCCGCAGTTCTCGAGTGCCACACACGGGCTCTGGCCATCAGGTCAGGTGGACCTGTGATACCAGCAAGGAAGCCTCCAGTCCCGGCTACTGCCACTCAGGAAGGAGTAGGCCCGGGTGTGGGTGGGCGGAATGGGGGAAGGTCGTCAAAGGGCATAAGCTTCCAGGTAGAAGATAAAATGTCCTGGGGTGTGATGTGCAGCTTGGTGACTACAGCTAATAATACTGTGCTGCATATCTGAAAGTTGCTAAGGGAATGGATCTTAAATGTTCCTACCAAAACAAGAGATGGTAATGAGGTGATGCGTCAGAGGTGCTAGCAGGAGCTGAGGTGGTAATCACCTGGCAGGATAATCAGCATGTGAGCTACAGATCACTTAAACTTGCCACAGTGTTGCATCCCAGTTACAGCTCAACAACCTGGAAAACAGTACAAAGAAAAGGCAGACTTATGGAAGAGAAAAATCCAGAAACAGGTCCAGGTGTACATAAGACTTTAGAACGTAAGTGATGTTTGAAGTCAGAACAGAAAGGAAAGGTTATAAGAACAGGTGAGTAGAAAGGGACAGGTGAACAGTTTGGGGGAAAAAACATGGTTAAATCCCTAGGATACACCTTACAATTCAGAATGCCAGAAAAATTAAAAGTCTAACTGTGAAAAATTAACACTGAAATACTAGAATACAATAAGACTGGGAGTTTATGTCATCTTTTGATGGATGTGACTTTTCTAAGCATGAAATCAAGACTAAATTTAAAACTTTCGGATGTCAAAATAATATAATCAAAATTTAAACTTCAAAAAAATATTTGCACCCTGCATAACAATGACTTGATGTGCCCTATGAAGAGCTATGAAGATTAGTGAGAAAACAAAGAACGTGCGCGCTGCCCGAGCAGAGCAGGACTGGGAGAAGAAGGCGGGGAGTGGGGGGGCCTGGAAGCCCAGGACCAAGAACAGGGTCTGTGGGGAGAGAGGAAAGGGAACAAAGGTAGAAGTTCAAGAACAGAGTGGTGGGGAAGGGTGGGGGTGCCAGACACATAGAGCATACCTGCTTGAGTTCCAGAATGTTCCAAGAATACAAATTAGCACGCTGGAAATGCGTTTCTTTCATAATTAACTTCTACCTGGGGCAAATATATTTGATACAGATTTTCACAGTCATGATTGTTTTATCGATTTATTTGTCATTTTCTTACAAAGACAAAAATAGCGTTGTGAGTCTACCTTCACTTCCTTTAATTAGCTTCCTTAGTTACAAGCACCAGGAACGAGCGCAGATCTTATCTGCGGCAGGCTGTCACTCAGCCGGGCGGACAGCCCTCACAGAGGCTGGCCTGGGGAGGACGCTAATGCCTGGCAGGAAACAGTGCTCAGCCTCATTTGTCAGGTGGGACTTCAGTCTCCGAGAGGACACCTAAACCAACCCATCGGGAAAAACTAAAAGCCTTGGAAAATAATTTTCTCTTTAAAAAAGACTAAGCATTCCATGTTTATTTGAATAAAATTAATAATCTTAGGGCCACATCGAAACCTCAACCAGTGCATATTGCTTCTTTAATCATACAATAGAATACAAATCTATCTGAAAATACAAGTTTGTGCACACATTCCCTTTAAAATCGTCAAAATAACTTGACCCCAAAACATGGATTAATGAGGACGTGTTTCCTAGAAAGTAACTAGCAAGTATTTCAAGAGAGACATACCTCAAAATCTCACCAACTGTTGCAAGATACCTGCGTCCTCACACACACAGAGGCAACGGAAACTGGACACTCTGAGACCAATTATATCTCAGTAACTGACCTCGAGTTCTTGAAGAGTGAAGTCCCCATATTTTCAAACATGTGAAACAGGTCTGAAGCCCGTTAACAGAATAGGGGAGGAGAAAGGTTGAAGACTCCAAATCCAGCCTCTGGGTTTTTTCTCACCCGCCTGTGGTCTGGGTACATGAGCATACGTGTGCGCGTGGACAGCCGAACAACTGAAAGTTACTGAGAATTGCAGGAAGCAAAGACCTTGAGGGCTGTTTACTAACCACATAGACGAAATCCTCATTTCGACCCAAGGTTGACTCTGCAAACAAAGCCCACGGACTATGGTGGCAGTCAGCAAGAAGTCCCTGTCGAGCACCAGCCTCTGTCGTACTGAGCTCTGTCACTGCCTCGGGGAAACTCTCATGGACGGTAGGTCCTTGCACAGGTGTGCCTGAGGTATAATACCTTATTTACGGAAGGTGAAATTTGAATTTCATACCATTTTCATGGATCACGTAATTTAAAAAAATTTTCCCCCAGCTACTTAAAACAATGTAAAACGTGTTCTTAGCTCGGGGACCACACGCAGGTTGGCGGTGGGGACTGGTCTGACGTCACTGGCGCCTCCCTCCCCTGAGGGTCAACAAGGGCTACCATCCAATGGTGGAGCCCCGAATGAACCACAGCCAGTCTGTGGAAGGAATCCCAGAGAGACGGAGAGGAGGGGGTTGCCCCTGCCTGGACAGAGGTGCTGGGGCCGGAGGGCAGCCCTCGCCCGAGCACCGGCCCCGGCCCCACGTGGTGCTGTCTCTGCTTTATTTCTGCCTGGTCCTTCGCTGTCACTTCCCCAAATGGCCCCAGGTCCCCAGAGTCTTCTTCCTTTTTCACAATTCACTTAACCAAAACGTACGCAAGGTTTGATAGCACATGACCAGAACGTACGCGAGGTTTGATACCCGTAAGAACTTTAAACGAATCTGCGCCTGCTGCAAAGTCGTGTGTGTACCCCACTCTGCCATATCTCTCACTTAATACTGTCACTTGAACGGCACAGGTTGTCTGTAGTGATTTCTCTGTGGGTCCACTTTGATCTTGAATGATTTCCTTAACCTGCATGAGTGATATTCTGGATCCAGGCAAGAGTCTGATTAGATATTGTTCAATATATCAGATAATAAATGTCCCTCACATTCTGCCCACTTATCATTAAAATACTAATCAATGGAGAGATACGCAATCCAATCATTTTTAAAAAAGATTGATTTATTTATTTGACAGAGAGAGACACAGCGAGAGCAGGAACACAAACAGGGGGAGCGGGAGAGGGAGAAGCAGGCTTCCCGCGGAGCAGGGAGCCCGATGCGGGGCTCGAGCCCAGGACCCTGGGATCATGACCTGAGCCAAAGGCAGACGCTTAACGACTCAGTCACCCAGGTGCCCCTACAATCTAATCATTTTTCAGATTGGAAACGACTACTTTCTGCTCAGGGAATCACAAGGGGGCATGATTATTACCCTTGCATTCTTTCTGATAAACGTCACCCTAGTAATGTTGGTTATAGCATACATAGGAGATCTCATAAGGAATGCTCATATTATAATTTGCAAATTCTATGTCCCAACATTCAACGATGATCTGCAGAAGGGAATTCATGTCAAATTTCTCAGAAATGACAACTTTGGGATGTGTGGGAGAAAGAACTTCAATCTGAACATTTAGCTGGTTTAAGTCCCCAAGCTCCCAAATCTTAAGAGCTATGTCTTTTTTTCTTTCTTTTTCTTTAGAGAGAGAGTGCTAGTGAGGGCAGAGGGAGAGGGAGAGAGAATCTTCAGCATGCCCCACACCCAGTGCACAGCTCAATATGGGGCTCGATCTCATGACGTTGAGATCATGACCTGAGCCGAAATCAAGAGTGGGACGCTTAACTGACTGAGACATCCAGGCGCCCCTTAAGATCTATTTCTTACCATTACTGGCTTTTATTTCTCATTGTAATAATCCAATGCATACTTTAAAATAATAGAACACTATAACATAGACATCTTTTCTTTAAATAGATATTCATATTTTATTTTAAGTAATAAGTACCTAAATGTTTGGCGAAGCCTATACAACATATGGGTTCCCTACCATTTAGGGAACTCCTACTACATGCTAAGAACATGGTAGATACTTTATAAACTCTCAGATGGGAGCATGGTATTAATTACAATATTTAGCTTCCAGGATCACAACAAAGAATAGGTTTCTAACAATTACAATCAAAAGATGAATATGTGGACTAAATTAAAGGACTAACGTTTCCGTGTCAGCGGATAGCACTGAAAGTTGAACGCCGCCCACACATTCTTCCCCAGAGTGAGCCAGCTAACCCAGAAGGAAACCCAAGGCCGTCTGGCCCAGAACCAGAGCCATCAGCTACCATGTAACTGCTTCTCAAAAAAAAAAAAAAAAAAAAAAAAAAAGTAAGACAATGAAAGGCATTATGGAAGGAAATCGAGTAAGATTTGAGTGAGAAACTAGCATTGAATAATTAGCTTTTTGAGACAGTCTGACCATCTTCCTAATTCAAAATGAGAGGAAAGACTTGGTCATAAGAAACATGGCCTTGATTTATTAAACATCTAGTTGGTGCTGGGTGTTTTTCAATGACCTCACCTCACATTAGTGCAGCCCTGTTAGCTTGTTATCTCCGCCGCCCTCAGGAACCTGGGAAGGAAAACCAGGCCTGAGCCTTTAATTGCTACAAAGTAGCAAAGCCAAGCCCGCCTTCTTGCGTTAAATCATGGTGCACCCAACACCTCCCACGACTGCCCGAGTGTCTATGCCATAAACTCCCACATCTGACCTAAGATATTTGAGGAGAAGGTACTTTCTGAGAAGTTGCATGTTTGATACGAAAGGGTAATTTCTCTGTTGAAAGTCCTGTACTGCAAACTTCCCAGAAAATGGAAGGGGCTCACTGCTGTACAGCACCTGGGCTCATGGCAGTGCTCTCTTGCTATTTTAGGAGATGAGGAATTACTGATTTCATGAGGATCCCAACTCAAAATCTGTAATTAAAACTGGTGTGACTAATGAAAGGATTTATGTTGAAACAACTGAAGACCAGGGCATATTAAATACCAAAAGCGCACATGCTGGAGACATTGATAATGCCCCTTGGGATCCCTCTTCTTAGACAGGTTTTCCAAAGTGCTTGCAGCCACCCCGCAGACAGGGAGAGCGTGAAAGAGGAAGAGCTATGATGGAGCATTATCTAGAGAAGAATCTGCTAGCCAGACCTGAGCATGGACGTCCGTCTTTGGGGCACTCCTCATTTCTAGCACACGCACAGGACTCAGTCTCCCTATTATGGGACTGGCATCAAAGGAGCCTGTGTCGCTGGGAAGCCAAACCCACGGCATGGGCGGGGCTTGGTGGGGCTGGCAGAAGTCATTCCGCTGCTGTGGACATAAACAGTCACCGTCTAAGTCTGTTTCTACATCCTTAAAATGAGGAAGTTAGAACCGATGGCTGCAGGGTCCTCCCCCGCTCCGGCATAAGGCAGGGGACTTGTTTGGGCAAGTGAAGGCTGGTGCTAGGAAGGCCGTGGGCAGAACAATGGTCCTGAGATACTCATGCATCATTGTTTACAACAGAAAAACACCAAAACCCTAAATGCCCATCTCTAAGGAAATGACTTAATACAGCCTGGCAATTTCCTGCTGCCGTTTAAAAGAATAATGGAGATTTACCTCCAAGACATGCTGTTGAGTGGAAGTAAACAGGTTGCAGTTATAATTATTTGAACCCTCTCAAAATACTACTGTATATTTTACATAACCAAATATGTTTCTAAAAATAAGAAGAAAACCAATCTAAAGACAGGTGCCCTTGGTGGGACAGGAATTGAGGTAGGATATACGTTACAGTCTGAGTAGACTCTTGCCTTATCTATAATGTTTCTATTTTTCACAAGGTGATTCCATTGTAATAATAAAGACAAATAAATGGCATCTGGGGGGGGGGGGCCTGTCCCTTGATCGTAGCTGCCCTAAGGCACTAGGCTCAGGTTATTTGGTGAGCCTGGTCCGATGGAACTGGTCTCTCCAGAGGGACCGATAGCACCCTCAGGCTCTCCGTCAGCATTTCACTCTGGTGCGAGCAAACGTGGCATCCAGGAGAGGATGTGCAGCTCAGACTCTGAGGCCCAGCGCACAGGACCCCACTGGTCCAGCTGAGAGCCCCTGGAGACGGACAGATAGATGGTTACAGTTAGTTGGCCCGGGGCAGTGGAGGGACCCTGTGAGGAGGGAGAATTCTAGACGGGGCATGGATGGGTCCAGAGGACTTTGGGGCCCTGACACCCCCACCCTGTGTCTGATGAAGAACAAAGTACAGAGCAGGCATCCAGGTTGGAGTTAGGACACATCTGAATCCGAGCCCTGCACTCAACTAGTGTGCGAGGTTGGGGTGCCGATTCTGAGCTCCATTCTCCTCATCTGGAAGGTACGGATAATCGTGACCACGTCATACCTCACCCAGTGGACTTGGAAATCAGTGAGGCGACATGCAGGAAGGTCAGCTGTTGACCATGTAGTTCTTCAACTATACACCTGCAGCAAAATACGGACTTCCTGAAAGCCTTTCAGATTTTTTAAAGCCACAGCTATCATTCCGGAGTAAAGGGAAGTTAAGGGAACAAAAGAGTTGGCAGGTCCAAAGCCAATGCCCTCAGAAAACTGGCAGGATTAGGGGCAACGACGGGGACACCGGGCAGTTTATCACTGGATTCGGCAGGTGGCTCTGTAAGAAATGACGCTCCCACGTTATCGATCGCAGCATGAAGGCAGGTCTGTGTCGCAGTTGAGACCAGACTCCGGAGCCAGGTTCAAATTGAACCTCTACCTTTTATGCGGCTGGGTGACCCTGAGCAAATGACTTCACCTCTCTGCTTTATCGCTTCCTCTTCTGTAAAACATAATGGTGGTATCGCTCCATAGGTTGTTAGGAAGAGGAGTTAATACTTAGGAAGTACTCAGAACAGTGCCTGGCATGCAGTAGCTTCTGTGTAGGCATTTGTGAAATCAAGCCTGTGTGCCCACCACCAGGACGTCCACCACCCAAATGAGCAAGGCTTCCTGGTAGCTGCCATGATGCCCCGGAGCAATGATGGCCGTGCGCTCACGCTGGGGCCCACCGGCCTTGGTCTCTTGCGGCTCCCTGCCGCCTACCACCTGCCACGTGGGCTGGTGGGTACTGGCTAAGGGTAGGTTTTATTAAAGTACCTTTTGAGGATTTCATTCATTCATTCATTCATTCATTCATTCATTCGTTTGTTCAAACACTGCAAGGCCTTCTGGGAGCTGCCGAGGACAAAAGTGATAGAAGTTACAGTCTTCGCGTCCACGGTGCCCATAATTTAGAAAGGAGATATTATCTCAGGTCCATGTATGACCCCTTTGTCAAACTCTCCCCAGCTTGGAGAGAACTGGATCTTCTGCCGTTGGGCCTAACTTCCCACTCCAGTCTCCACCTCTGTCTTTCTTCTGTCATCGGGGGGACCACACGGTGGCAGCTGCAGCCCCCCTTCCAGGCAGGATGCGCGTCTGGTCACAGCTCTTTGCAGCCTCTCGCGGGTCTTGAGTCTCTCCCTCACCGGGGGTGTCTCCAGAAGGGTGTTTGTTTTTAAAAAAATAACTTCTAGAAGACCTAACTTT